TGTCCCATTTTAAGCTCACAAATCACTTAAAAATTGAGTACTGGTATTTCAGCATTCTAGCAGAAAATTGACAAATTTTACAATATCTATTTTCCACTCAATTTTTGTGAATGTGTCGTGTTTGTTCAGATCAGTGTTCGTTCTTAGGCTTCATATACTATTGGTTTAAATTTTAAAGTAGACACACGTATAACATATTGAAAGAGATTATTTGTAATTGATGTTATTCGTTTGACCTGAAGTATCTCTGAATCATTTGAGAATGACACCAGTGGAAACAAAAAATGATTTGAAAAGGACAGAAAGACAGAGGTTATGGTTAAAACACAAAGGGAAGCTCTTTGCTACTATGCCACGTGTTTGTGTTATATGATTATTGAGGTAAATGTCTATCCTAGAGAAATGGTTTTTCTCAGGAGATTCTGACATTACATATCCTTCTGACTGAGGTTACTGAACACCTAACTTTTGCCATTTTTAGCCTATAAGGCAGCGCATTAGTATCAGATGTATTTATGTAGGGTAACATCTAGAGACCACTCACCGGTTAATGATATATACATTGACGTGTCACATACCATTACTAGTACAAAGAGCCTGAAGCTGCATTTTTCTCTACTTCTAATACTTGCTAAGTAAAACTTCCAGCTGTGTTAAGGAGTGCTATAGTATGTTTTTCTATTTTACAAAACAATCATTTTTCCTTTTCTTCCATTTTCATTATATTTACTATATATAATATTTAATTTTCATATTTATGGTGTGGTGCTATGCCTGGTTGCTGTTTTCTTTGTTATATAAAGTTCTAATTTTTAGTATATAACCGACAAAACTTTTCTGATGTAGCTATGGTTTCCTCTTGGGCAACAGGTAACCTAAAACATAGATACATATCCTCTGCCAGTTATAACCTGTGGTCACAGTAAGTCAATATCATGAAGGTGCATGAGATGTAATGGAATGGTTAGATCCTCTAATATTATTGACTTGAAACCTTCTGTGATATCATACATTGGCTGAGATTGTATTTACAGCTATTTATAAATAGCTTATCTGAATTTAACATTTTTGCTTTAGATGGCATGTTCCATTTGACATCTGTGATGTTTTGGACTGTGCTCCTGAGAGCATCAAAAATTAAATAAACTCTTTGCCATGTTTACTGAAAAAGATTTCACCACCATCCACAAGGTTGCTTCAGTTATGTTACAATCTCACAGACTCAATACTATCTGTAAATCACCACCTTTATTAGTTTCTGGAAATAATTCCAAAACTTAAAAAAAAAAAAGAGATCTTTTCATGACTCTTGTGTTAACTCGGTCTACTTGATTATAACATCCATTTCTCATCAGATAGCACATTGGATTTAGTCAATATGGACACATTTGTTGTTCTACTGTAAGATTCACAAAGTGTGGGAGTGTATTTGTATCATACTAGAGACATCAGTATAATATGCAGAACTTGGAAGTATTATATTACTATACCTAGGATCCAGTATATACACATCATCCACATATTGGAACTACCAGTGAAGTTCGGCAATGTTCCCATCCACCACACTGTGTTTTTTAATCACCCACAGAAAGGGAATAAAAATAAGTATACCATATATGAAACAAATTGTGTCAATAGAAAAAGCTTACAAGCAATCTGACTAGTAAAAGTAACATTTGCTTATTTCAGTAAATCAGTCTCTATCCTTTATTACTTAGTAATTATTTTCTGTAAATTATTACTTAGTAATTTATTACATCTGATTCAGAAAAGCCTTGCCCTCTGATTTATAACAGAAGTTGTCTTTGCTAGTATCATATAATGTTCTCTAATTTACCTATGATGTCTCTGCAGTTGTAAAGAGCCTCTGTATTCACCTGTTTTCATTGCCATGTCAGTAGACACTTTGTTCTAAAAGGGGTCATTAGTTAAATTCACAACCTCCTCTGTGGTCTGATGTGGATTTACTGCTTTATAGGGAATACAGACTGATTGGCTATTTTAATAGTTCCTTTCAGTCCAGTTAATAATATATAGAACAATAATATTTGGCTAAAATTATAAACTATATAGTTCATTTATGTAAGGAACATTACCTTGTTTACATTTGTGTCTATATTAAAGTAATGAGAAATAATGAAACAGAAGGAGAAATGTGTTTTGTGATCATGAATGTGTTTTGATTTCAATTTGAGAAACCCTAGGTCTGAACTTTCCATGCTATTAGTGATGGTCTGATAAAAAATATTTGATAGACTGCATGTTTCTGTTGATACTGAACTGGTACATTATGCTGTTGACCCATGGAAATTTATTCCACGATGTTTTTGAATAGCACATGTTCTTATGTGCTAGACTAGTTGGTCACTCTCCTTTTCACTACCAATAAGATCGAGATTTTTTTTCCAAATCCCAAATGGAAGAGGAGTCAGCAACCATTCTCACAAAGTGCCCTGTGTACAATAAACAAATAGAATCGTGATGTTTGTGATTATATTGAACTTAACGTTTTCTTATCCCTTGTAGTCTCACAGCCTGAAATTTTAACTGTCCTAGTAAAGAGAGAATCAGTATGTGTTTTTTCTTATCACATAAATCTCATCTCAGATTGAAGTAAATATGACCCAACACTTAGCAATGACATTCTCATAATTCAAGCATAGTGACAGAGTCCTTCCCTTCTTAATGCTATGATTATTTTCTAGCCCTTATATCCTTATAGTCTTCTGATGGATCAGGATACTTTGACAAATGAGTAAAGAGGCAAAAGATTTTTTCTTCAGTTTGTTTCTCATTTTAGAAAAAAAAATCAATGTTCAATGCAGGTTGATGGAATTCCTCAATGATTTACTCACGTCCCCAAATGACGTAGTCCTCATTTCTATGTTTTGCAAAATATAATTCCCAGTCATCTTTTTTCTTGACATCAAGGTCCTAGAAGGATTAAACCCTCCCATAAGCAAACACTGTATAAATGAGCTTATGTGTGTAGTCTTCCATGCTCAGTAGAAGTGACGAACTCTTTATAATATCAGCATCATCTAGAATGGAAGCACTGAAGTGAAGTTACAGGCCTGATTTTGGTCCTCTCCCCATGCTTTCTTGGCCCTCGTGTACATAATCTCTGATATCTTGTCAAAATGCAGTTTGTATTACATACTGTTTTACTGTAAAGCCATTCCTCTTTTTGAACTGTTCTTTTTTCTTAGCCTTACATTATACATGTTCAAGTTGTAAGAAATAACCTGCAAGGCTTTGCAACATGCCACCCACGATTACAAAATATTTTCCCAAACCAAATCATAAACATGTTTTTTAACTGAAAGACATTCTAATTTTCATGCTATGCTGAGTATAAATAGAAATTCAAGGCAGCCCAACTATCCATTTCAAAATAAGAATGTGTGTACCTACACTCATTAAAAATCATCTGGAAATGTGTATTATTAGCAAATGAGTAAGAAATTTTCACTAGTATAAAATTCCTGCTTTATATAAAAGCCACACTGGCCATTCAAGTATTTTGAGGGTTTTTTTTTTTGTTTATCCCCTATAGTTTTATATTTGTACTTAAAGTGATGAATTTAGGTTTGAAATTATATTAAAGGAAAATTAAAAGTCACTTCTACCTATAGGGCATTTTTCGAGTGTGCATGTAAATTGCAAAGTGTCCATCTGCAGATCCACCATCAACACTCTTTTTCTCTTTCTCTCTCTCTCTCTCTACTCTAAGGAAACAGCTCATGCTTACTAAGGTTTTAGAGTACAATTAACACTCCAAAGGAGAAGCAATACCAGATTTCCTTCAGTTTGTGCCAGTTTGCAAGTTAAAGGTCAAAGGGCAAAGACATAGAACAGGACTCTTCAAGGAAAATTTTCACAAAAGACAATGTTTAAGTTGTTGTTAATGACAGTCAACAGATCAATAATCAAGTTCAAGGCAAGCTGTTCATTGTTTCAAAAGCTAATCCCCTCAAAAGCTGGCTTTCACACAAAGCCAATGTCTGACTCATGGGGTGCATTCGTTCTGACCATCTCTAATAAGTTCACAGCCCAGTGGCTGTAAAGCCTTTCACTGCAAGAAGCAGCTCCTAAAAATCAATAAAGAGGTCTGTCAGTTGCTGACTTTTCTCTAGGAAAAAATATTGATACAAACCTGCTCTGCAGGTCACATGAAAATGACAATACTGCTGTTAGGACAAATTACACTCAACAATGAAATGCTTTGGTGGTCTCTTGGCTCTGTCAGTGATCAAATGGATGGCTAAATGCCAGAAGCCACACTAACCCTTTGAGAACTATGGTTGACATGCAATAGGTAATGTACTAGAGGATATTCATGCAATCTCAGAGTCATCATTTTAAGTCATTTGTAAAATGGCAATGCTAATGGCATGTACCAAGGCAAATTGAATGTTCATGCAATGGATTTTAAAACAGAAATTCAATATGTCTGAGAAAAAAAGACTTAGGATATTATAATCAGTTTTTCAAATAAAATTTCACTTTTACGTTTTCTTAATAAAATATCTTTTTATTTGCCAGAAAATTTTTTGGCAAGTAACATCATTTTTGTTTGCTATAAATGCATTTATGTAGTACCATAAATCGCTTAAAAATTACATGGGGTTATAGTATATCTGTTTTAAAAACCTGAACTTCTTGAACCTGTGCCTGTTTTTACCATTGCCCAGTTCTATAAGTTACCAGATAGCAAGACTGACAAGCCTAAGACTCTGAAAGCTGATCTGATAGTTCTCAAAGGGTTACACCAATGTATTACTAGTGTCACATATCCTTGTAAAATAACTGTCACTTTAAACCACTTTGGAGACATACTGCTTCTTGCTCTGCTTATAATGAGTATTTCTGACAGACCCACGGAAGGCCTGGGGCAATGGCCTAATACAACTTGGGGAGATTATCACAATGATGCAGGGGTCAGGTGGTAGGAAGGGGATTAGGAACACTTCAAAAACAATCAAAAGGTCCTGTTTGAATATAGCTATGAGTATAAATGTGATGAAACATTGAGGACATAGCTGAGAACAGCTGTATAAAACGAAAAATGGATGTATTATTAAGGCTGTTACTATATTGCAGATATTTTGGCCCCTTGTTTGCTGGAAAATGGCTGTCCCAACAGTCTAAAGTCCTGCATGTGTATTCCAGATCTCCCACCTGACCAAAATGAAGTGTGGGAGACTATCCATAGCGGTCAGAGAGCTATCTTCTTTGGAGACAAAGCTGTTTTGGGTCTTCACACTTTCCTGAAAGTTCAATTGTGGGTTTTTTTTGTTTAACTTTTTTTTTTCTTTGCTTTAAAGCAAATTCATGGGTTTTCCATTTTGCATTTTTCCCCCAGATATGGGCTCAGACTTCAGAAGGAAAATAATATTAGAAACCTTTAAGAAGAATCTTTTCTTCTTTTTTTCCTCTTCTTTAGTTAATCCTGAAAATTTACTGGGCATTGAGCGTGCAGAGGAAAGGCCTAGAACTGAATGACAAAGAAAGACAAAGGACTGAAGAACGGCAGATACTGTGCATCATGGAAGCTTCCCCATGAGTGTATTTCCACTCATGTGCAGGACCAGCAACCCTCTGGGTTTGAAAGGTCAGCCCTGAATCAGGCTGCCACAAGCCTGCTCCTAGCTAGGAAACAGCATAACAGCTCTTGTCTTGAATCTCAAGTTACCACAAACTCCTGGAAAAGAAAGAAAGAAAAAAAACCCTACATCACACCCACTCTTGCATAGAGCGTTTACAGTACAGTATGTGGCGGGGTGTTCCTTTCCTCTTGAACTGGAACACAGTGTAAACCAATACAAGGAGACATAAGGCCAAGATGCAGGGAATGACAATAGCTATGGCTTTCACAGTGCTGGCTGTGTTGTCCAGTTTGATGACAATGTCTACATCGTCTGGTGGGCTGTGTCCTTCTTTATCTCTGTCTGTTGGTCCATCACAGCCCATAAAATCCTTGAGGATGGATCTGGGATATCCAGGTTCTACTTTGAGTATCTGGTTGTTGAATTTCCAGTACTCCTTTCCTTTGTAGAAATACGTAAAGCCTAGAGGGGGAAACACACACATATAGGTACCACTTATTGTGAAAGTGTATATGTATAGAAATTTTAATTAATTTAAATAAGATTTAAATTTTAATTAGGCTGCTTTGTAAAAGATGCATGTTAAGGCCCCTAGGGTTTTGTAGGAAGAAAACATCTTCAGCTCAGCCGTCTATTGAAAAGAATGTGGCTGATATGCTGTAGGAATTGTGCCCTCTAATGCCTATGAAAAGCTTAGCCAAGAGCCAAAATATCTATCTATAGCGGAGTGTAGAAAGATTGCTCTGTACACATCTACTCCTAGTCTGGAAAGAAAACTTGATCCTATTTCTCACCTGTAAGGTTGCTGTTTCAGAATTACACATCAGAGTGATAATATTAACCTATGTCAAAAGATGCTGAAACAGCCTTATCGTTGAAGCAGTGTTTGCCTGCAGACCACCATCAGGACATTTTATAATATTTGATGGAGAGGCCTCTCCATGAAACACCTCAGGGGAAATTTCTAATCATTTTAGTATTGGGAGCAGTTGTACTTAAACAATAGGTTTGCTTGAACCTATTGTTATCACTTGAACAAGAAATCATAACGATTCATCTCATAAAACTATAGAGATGTTTTCCCTTATCTCCTGGAAATCTCAGTAAGTAAGTAAGTATTTAGAGTATTTTCTGCACTAACCTTATTTCTGGTCCTAGATCATGCCCATTTTGTTCCTTCTCCTTTTGTCCTCTTTGTTTAATATTCTTATTTACTTGTATAGTGAGGGATTGATAAAGTAGAGTATAAATCAACCTACAATTCTATCTTTAACTATCCAACTAACATATTTCATGGGGGAGGAGGTGGTATGTGGAAGGCTCATGTAACTAGCAACACATGTGATTTAGGTTCCAAAACTTTATGGATGCAGATAATAGACTTTGAAAGCTGGTGACAATTAAGCTACAAATATGTGTGTGTGTGTGTGTGTGTGTGTGTGTGTGTTTAAGACTGTTCTCTCAATTTTTGTTGTTCTTGTTGGGAAAAAAAGTTCTTTTCATCCAGAGCTTCTTCATGTCAAGTTTCTTTGTGACTACAATTGTTGGACTTAATTCTTACTTTGAGATAAAACATGTCAAGAAGAAATGTTTTAATGCTATAATTAAAAATTTTATTTTGGGAGCTGTTTGAATAGTAAGCCTAATAATCTTTAATGATAGTTTTTCTTTATCCTGTATTATTGAACACTTATGGAAAAAGTATTGTGTTTAAAACTCAGTAAATGACATAGTTTAATCCTCATAACCAGTCTGTCAGGTAGAATTATGTACCTATACTTTTAGAGATAAAATAATATGCCTAAATCTTAGTGCAAGCAGGATTTAAATCTTGATCTAGTTCTGGAGCCTAAACACTTTATGGTTTTCTAAAACTGTGTCCTTTAGAGATCTCTTTTAACAAATCCTTCTTGATTAAACATCACAAGTTGTGAGACGTAACACCCATGCAAGGAAAAACTCTGACACCTTTCAGAAAATTTCATCTCGGACAGACCAGCACTTCAGGTCACTTCATTTTGGAAATCATTCAGTTCAATGCCATAAAAATCTGCTGTTGCTTGTAGTTTAGAAGGACGGTTTTGCAATCAGAGTAACTTGCCAAGTGAAAGCAGGTGTATGTAGATTCAAATATTTCAGCAGGGAGCTGGTATTTGATCACACTAATGAAATCCAATGTAATTACTCAACAAGCTTGGATGAAGAAATGTTGAAGACTTGCCAAATAATAGTACATTAGACAATCACTGTTGAATAATGGCATTGACTTAGAATTAAACAGACCTTCAAAACAGGTGAACGTACTTCTTATATTTGTAAACTGGAAACCAACAGCTGGAAGTGTCCTCATCTTTACTTTTTAGTCAAAGCTAGTTACTCTGAACCTACTGGGTATCATGCAAAAGTTCAGAAGTTTCCATTTTTATATTTATGCAACCCAAATTTTATAGCAGCACACTCCATATACAGGAGTAGGATTATACTTTACTGAATATATTTGTTATGAAGTAACACATCTAGTCCATAGAATATAAATAATAAAAGTATTTGAAAAGAAATGGTCTGAAATCATGGTAATAGAAATCTGTCAAAACTTGATCCCACAGTATTCATCTCATTCAATAATGTAGGTCTGGTTTTGTTCCTCCATTTATGAAATAGTACTTGGTTGAAGAAATGTTGATGTACTCATTCTTTTCCTTTTCAAGAGTAGCTTTGATGTTATACTGTTGTAGATGTTATGCTTATTAAGAATAGTAACTACAGACGAGTTCTTACCCAAATTACCATTTTTTGAGAAATTGTGAGAAAGAATTCAGTGGGGCTGTAATATATTATGTGATGGCTTTTTCTTCTCCCATATTTGACTGCGTTTTATGATTTTTCTATGCTTAGTCCTAAAATGTTAACGAGATCGTATTGTTCTAATGTAGTAGATGTTCCTGGATGACAGTGCCTATGTGTTCTCTGTTTTCCACTCTGATTATTTATTAGTAAGAAGTTAATTAGTGTTTAATAAATGTGAATGAATAAACTGAATCTTGCAGAAATATGTGTTTGGATTTCACTTGTATATTTTAACAGGGTAAGAGAGGTAGGGACTATAGCAAATCAACAGAATCAAGAGTCAGACTAAAGTAGGGATGCAATCAGCAAAATGAAATGCAACAGTTTAAAAGTAGAATCTTGTATTTACCTTAGAAGTGCATTTTCTAAGGAGAAAATATAGAATACCTCGGTGGCATACCTTGATGTCAGTTAACATGGAAACAATTTGAAGGAGAAGTAATTCAATGATTCTTTACTAAAACTTGCATATGTGTTAAAAACTTGTTCTTGCTTAAAACATGGTTGAGCAATGGATGCTAAGAAGAAATCATTCCACTATATTCTGCATGAGTCATATCTCATTTGGATTGCTGTATTTTCAGAGACTAAGAGTAAAGAGGAAAATGGGAAAACTGTTTAGATGGTTACAGGTGAAAATCAGGAGGATGGTGGCCCAGGAAGCTACGTTCTGAGAAAGCCTGGATTTGTCTAGTAGCACAAGATGCAAAATTTAGCCAGACTTGACAGATAATCAGTTACCTTAATGATATCATGTAGAGAGTGGTGTTAAACTTTCCTCTTTGGAGATAGTGCATTACAGCAAATTCAGTGGGGCTAGAATGTTCTAGTTTCAAACCTCAAATATATACTCTTAACCTTTTTTATGATCATGAATCAGGTACTTAGACTAGTTGATGCCAGTTTCCTCATTAATAAATAATAATTACATAAAAAGTTATTTATGCTGGACAATTAAATTAGATAATAAATTTATGTAGCACAACTGATACATGATAGGCATTCAATAAATAGCACCAAGTATTCATATTTCATTGATAAAAATGGCAGAATTAATACCAGTAGGTACATAGGGAGGCACATTCCACCTTAATATAAAAAGTATTCTTCAAAAATCTATAGCTGAATTGCTGAATTTGTAGGCTATTTTTTTTTTTTATGATTACCATTAGAAGATGATTCCAGGGAACAAACTCCTACACTGACAGAAGGATAAACCAGAGAAAACATTCAGTGTTCTATCATCTTTAACTTTATGACTATCAAATACCAAGTGCATAGACTTGCGGGGAATTACTTTGAGTCAAACTATGAATATAAATTTGTTTACTTAATAATTTGAACTTTTCATCTTTCATACACAAACTTAAAGGAAAAAAAATGGTGTAAAGTATGAATTTAAGGTGAGAAGCTACAAGCATGAAATCTGAATCTGATAAAAAGTGGAGACTTTGCTGTTGATAGACCAAGGCCTTCCCTATTGGCTGGTATTGCTATTGTACAGAATATGTGTTTCAGACAAATGAGATATCGCCTCCATGGAATGAATTTTTAGAGTAATGGGAGGGATAAAATTAATTTATACAACTAATATTTATTGAATATTTACTATGTGACTGTCTTCAGAGAGTTTACATTAGAGCGGATAATGAGAATATAAGCATATATACTCATATGAGATTCTGAGTGCAAGGGATAGGGCATATACCTTCATTGTGACCAGCTCCTGTCCTATATATGTCTGTTATTAACTTTATAGTAATTTTAATAGAAAAATAGATAAGGTTATTTCAAAGGTATCCACACCATTTTAAAATACTGCCTTTATTTTTTTCCTATAAACTAAAATAAGTTGAGGTTAAAAAAAAATCTGAAGCATAATATTAAGCATAAATTTAGGGAGGAAAGTTCACATAAATATATTATGGCCCTAGTATGGTGCTTTCTAATGATTTAATTCAACATAATGAAATATTAGAATGCATTATTAAAATATTTAGTAAACTCATGAAATACATAATGCATATGCTGCATACCATTTTCTTTGTGCACAAAGGCTCCCTGAGGAGATTCAGGGATACCTTTCCAAACGGTGATTGGTTTGGGATAGCCAGGATCCATGGTCTTCATTTCTTCACTGTATCTCCAATACCTAAAAAGGATAATAAACAAACAAACAAACAAACAAAAAACACATGCATAGAGAAGGAAATTATGTATATGCAGTAATAGCTAACATTCATTAAATCCTTGTTGTATGCTATCTGTTAATGATTTACAGAACTGATTAAAAACACTATAAAGACATTGAATACAGGGGCGCCTGGGTGGCTTAGTTGGTTAAGCGTCCGGCTTTCACTTAGGTCATGATCTCGCGGTTCGTGGGTTCAAGCCCCGCGTCGGGCTCTGTGCTGACTGCCAGCTTTGAGCCTGGAGCCTGTTTCGGAGTCTGTGACTCCCTCTCTCTCTGACCCTCCCCTGCTCACCCTGTCTCTCTTTCTCTCTCTCCTGGAAATAAATAAAAACATTTAAAAAATTTAAAAAAAAGTGGGTATTATTATTATTGTATTATTCTGTCTGCTAAAATTAATTTTAAAATTCTAGCTAAGTATACTGTGCTTGCTAAATATATTTCCAATTCAAAAGGGTATCACCAACCTAAGGATAAAAAAGAGGTTTTCATGATTTTCAAAAAATCTTTCTTAAGCAGCCGAACGCTTTCATTTATTTATTTATTGGAATCATCTTAAGCAGAATCTTGTTTCATTTTCCATTCATTTATTCACTTAACAAATATTTACTGAGTACCTATTATGTTCCTGGCATATTGTAGACACTAGAGAGATATAACCTTAAACAAAACAGACATGCCCAGCTCTCTTCAGTCTTACATTTTTGGGTATCTACAGGTTATAGGCAATAAAATAATTTATTAACAAATACACGCTATGATAGGAGGTGGTAAGATTTAGAAAACAAGCAGATAAAGTTAGCTAGGGATATGGGAAAACCATTTTAATTAGTGAACAGAGAAGTCCTTCCTTTATCAGATATTGAGCAGAAAGTAGAAAGAAGTGAGGCACAACACATGTAGTTTTTGGGAGAAGAACATTTCAGGTAGAGGAGCTAGTTGTTGAAAGTTACTGTGGCAGGCACAAATTTGGAGCACTTAGGCATCCACAAGGAGGCTAGGGTGACTAGAATCGAGCTGGCAAATGGAAGAAAAGGTCAGAGTGGGAACCAGAATCTAAGATTAGATAGACCTTTATGCTACAGCAAAGCCTCTGGTTTTCCTCTAAGAGATATGTGAGGTCAACACAGATTTTGAGCAGAGGAGCTTCAAGATCTGGTTTATTTTTTAAAGGAACATGCTGGGTGTTGTGAGTCAAATAGACTTAAGGAGGTAAAATAGAAGCAGGAATCCCTGCTTCTGGAATGTAAGGTGTAGAGTTGATGATAATTCAAGGGATTGGGATATATTGTGAAGGGAAATCCCAGAGAGCTTACTAATGGGTTGAATGCAAGATATGAGAGAAGGAAGTTGAACATATCTCAAGAACCTGGGGCCTGAACATGTGCAAGAATAATGTTGCCATTCAGTAAGATTGGGAAATGAGGGAAGGTAAGTTGGGCTGGTTTGAACAATCATGATTTTGGTTTTAGATATGTTAAATTCAGGTACCTGCTAGACATCAAAGTGGAGTTGTTGAGGAGGCAGTTGGGTATATAAATGTAGACTTTAGGGCAGGTCTTGACTGGAGTCCTCAGTGTACAGACAGGAAAACAGATAAAAGGAAAGCTCTCCAAGAGTCAGAACTCTCAGATCCCCATGCCTTCACACGGTGGCCATTCAGGCACTTTCACAGAACTGCTAGACACCCAAAAAACTAACTTTAACCAGCCCTACTGGGGATCATTCATGATTGTTTCTATGTTCTAAGAGTTAAATGAGTTTATATCTTGAATATTCAAAAGGAATAAAAAACTGGGGTGAAGCCATTGGCAGTTTCCAGTATACCTCACACTTTAGGGCAGGCCTATGCTTTATGCATTATCTCATTAAACACAGCAAACCCATCAGATAGTCATCATTGTCCCCTTTTAAGAGAGGATAATTCTAAGAGGACACTAAGGGATAGATTTATCACCAACTTGGTCTGATTTTAAAATTCGGTCCTCTTTCCTCTATGCACACCAAATATGTTTTCCAAATTTAAATTTATTTGACAACCTTTTGCATTTTTCCCCCACTAAACATCTCTTTCCATTTGCTAAAGCTAATGTTTTACCAACACAGGCTTGGGAAGTGATTAATGCATTATCTCAGGATTAGGCATTTTGGCTGAAATCAGAAAAAAATAAGCATTTCCTGGTCTTTCTGGATATTTTCCTATTCTAGGCCAGTGGAAGACTCTTTATTGAATTTTGGGGTTTTGTACATAAGGTTTTGCTATAGTTCCCTAGAAACATCCATTCAAGTAACATCCGAAATATTAACAATTCCTCAATGTTTACATGGAAAAGAGAAAAAGATTGTTTCATGAGGTATTCCAAAAAGTAAACCACAAGGCAGATTCTCATCAAAAGAAGATGAGAACAGATCTGATGGAAAGATCAGGAAAAGCTTCAGGGAGAACACTGAGCTAATAAAATGGTGACTGGGCCTATTTTTCTGAAGACAAGAAGGCAGAATCATTAGCGTATTGTTCTACCAATTTTGAAGTATATTTTCTTTCACATTTAGTTCATGGGAACATCTGCTTTAAAAATATTTCTGAATACTTCTTTCTCACAGAACACTCTACGATGAATATAGAATTGTTACTATGGTTAAATTTCAAGATATCTTCTCTTAAGTAAATATTTCAGTGGGGTTTAAAATAGTCATATATGTCTACTGGTTCCTGCACTTGATCATAAAGAAAGCCCATCAGGGGCACCTGGGTGGCTCAGCCTGTTGAGAGTCCAACTCTTGATTTTGGTTCAGGTCATGATCACAAGGTTTGTGAAATGGAGCCCAATTTCAGGCTCTGTGGTGTCAGGACAGAGGCCGTTTGGAATTCTGTCTTCTCTCTCTGCCCCTGCCCCACTCATAAGCATGCTGTTTCACTCTCTCAAAATAAATAAATAAACATTAAAAAAAAAAAAAAGAAAACCTCTTGTATGTAACTAGTCAAATGCCTCATTTTCACAGATTCTAAGAAACATTTTTTTTTTTTTGCATTTTACATTTCTAAAATCACAATGTACTTTACAGTAGATACTGTATCAAAGTTTACTTGGTAGGGTTTTCCCCTACATGATAGATTAAATAATGACTTACTTATATAATACATGTCATTTTTAGATATAAACTACAACTTAAAGTAAGTTTTTCAATATTGCTAAGCCAGAAGTTTGGAACAATCACAAATCCTGGGGACAAAGTGATCACACCCTGTGTGTGATTTAAGAAAGATTAACTACATACTTAGAAACCAGATTTGTTCTCTGAGAAGTAGTTGTAGTGATGTTCTTAAACAATACCAATCATTTGTATAGGTTTTTGTAGTTATAAATAAATTTATACATATACATTATTTTATTTTATGTCATTTAAATCCCTCAACAATCTTTTATATTGCATATTACAATGCTTTCTAAGATGATATCCTAACCATAGACTTAGTATGTATGGTCACTCAACTCACTTAAAAGATAATGATTTAGTCACATTTACCCTTTTGAAATGTTGCAGAGTTGAAACTCTAATACTTTCAGCTTCATAGTTTAGTGCATTAGTGTTATTGTTTCCCTTGGGCATAGCATTCTTACTCTCAGTACTCTCTCTCAAACTCTTAACATACTTAAGTATAATTCTCCTTCTTCCCTCCTTCTGTTCACTCAGATCCATTTACTCACCAACACTTTTTTGAGCAGCTATATTATATGCTGAGCACATAAGATTCATAGAGATCACAATTTCAATATTAATGGAATGTGAATTTATTACACTCTCTTGTAGGAACTTAATTCTGATATGAATTTATCAGAATAAAAGCATTTTCCTCCCTTCATCACTAGCAGATAATGCAAAATTATAATTTGGGATCATTTCACAATCTTTGAAACACTCAGTGTAGGCTTGGACCCTCAGGTTATCTGCTATGTGGCAGTTTTGGTATGTATCCAGTAAACTTGAATGTGATTAGAATCATTTAACTATATTCAGATCTGTCTTATAAGAGGTGCTGAAGCTTATTCATAAATACAAGTTTGCATTTTAACTTTCAACATATTTGAACATATTTCAACACTAACAAAAAGCTCATCGCACTGATGTTTTTCTCCCTGAAAAATAAGTTCACGGGGTCTTTGAGAAGCATATTAACATATTCAGTTGAAACATGGATAAAAACTATTTGGGGGTTTACAACTTAGATATTATAATGGAAAAAAATTGGAATTTTGTACAGGAGGGTCAGCAAATGATAAAACCTATTATAAATGAAATTTATAGTTTTTTTCTTCTGATAGATCAGTTATCTCTAATGTAGAATTATGACTTTACATTGTTGATTCTTTGAGAAAGCATTGCAAATCAATGCTTCAAAATAAATTATGATGAGAAATGAGATTTAATCATTTTATATGACTTAATCATGGGTCACGTCCGTAAGAGACAGAAGTTGTGCATGTAATGGTAATAGCATTTTGTTAAATGTCTCTGCTAAGAAAAAAATGGTATAGAAAATTCTGGAATGGCATACATTAATGGCATGTTGCTGGATACCTAATTCAAACTGAACAAAAAGTGGTTCCAAGGGTTATTTCACGTGACCCAGCCATTTCTTCATCCTAGTGTCTCATCTGTACTCCAGTCAAGACTATTCGCTTCTCTTAAGTTACACAAAATACAGCAGCCCTTCTTTTTTCCTAACCAAATAACTACACAAAGTCCCACTCTTCATAAACATTCTTAGTGATGCAACAGAATTGGGGATACTAATTTGTACTGTGTTGGATGATTTTAAAAACACGTATATTGAGTAATACTTCAAAAACACACAAGGTAAGCTGGAGGAAATAAATGTTTTTCTGTTTGACTATAATGGGATGATAATAGTAAAAACCAAAGTGGATCTAAATTTTGTCTTTCTTTGAAAATATCTTAAACTTGTTAAAGGTTAATGCTTAGAATGAAGTATGGCCATAGGGTATGTATCTGTGAGAAGATGCTGAGAGATAATTTAGAAACATAGCCTTTTAGAGTTAAATGCTATGTGGATCAAAATGTATCCAAGTATCAAATTATAGTGTATTAAAAAAAGGGCAATAGGAATCTGAGGAACAGAGTTCCAGGCTGTATGTGAAACAGTGCAATAGTGGAAATTTTAATCTGACTTTACATATCTATTTAAAGAGCCATCATTTCAACTATTCATCTTTAGCTATCTGTACACTTAGGAGATTTGATGTAGGCCACTGCTTTCAATACAGTTTATGTCAATCATTCTCCAATGTGTATCTCAGACTGACCTTTCCTCTGAGGCAAACTCAAATGATCCAAGTACCTACTTAATTCCTTCTATCGGTGTGTGAAACAGGCATATCAATCTAAATATGCACATTTCAATATTTTAATCCCCTTTCCTCGATATTCCTTCCCAAGCCTGCTCTATCTCCATGAATGGCACCATTATTCCATTTTTGAGGTTAAAATCCTGGAAGTTATCTTTTAATTTGCTTTTTCCTCACCCCTAAAACCCAAGCCATAAGAAAGACTTGTTCTGGTTACATTCAAAATATATCCTGTACTCACGCCTTTTGTTCCATCACCACTGCTACCATCGTAGCCTCCTGTACGATTCCAATAGCCTTCCAGCGACCCTCTTTGCTTCTACTCTGGAAGCCCATTCTTCACTAGAAGCCACAGGGGTGTTTGTGAATACACATCAGATCATCTCACTTTCCTGTTGAAAATACCTTCAATACCTTCCCACTGTACTAGAACAAAATCCAACACATTTGTCATAGTCTATAGGGCTCCATATAATCTGGTCTCTGCTTACCTATTTGACTTCCTTTACCAATTAACTCACTATGTTCTAGCCACAATGTTTTATCCGATTTAAACATTCTATTATTGCGTTTACAGTACTATGTCATCCGCCTACAACATATTGTTCCAAACAGCTTCCCATGGCTGAAACTTCACCCATCAGAGGCCCCACTCTTGTGTCCCCTTCAGAAGCAAGGCCTCTGAATTCTACACTAATTTTCCGAACACTCCTGCTCACTCATGAGTCTCTATCACATTATCACTTTGCTTTATTTCTTTGTAGCATTTCTCAATGACAAAGGATTAGGCTCATTTACTTATTTACTGCTTATAAGTGCCTCCTTTAATAGAAGCTAAGTGCCATGGGAGCAGAAGCTTTGTGGTCCTTTATAACACATGTCACATCATATTTGCTCAAAATATTTTTTTGAATAAATGAATGAAGGCTATTCCAGGACTGCTATAGAAACCTTAAGGAAGTAGGAATTAGAGCTGTTGAAAATGGAAGAGTCTGTCTCATAGTCATACTATCACCATGGGCAGTAGAGTCAGAGAGGGATGAATTCCTGTCGAGTGTAACTGATTGTGTCTACACACTGGTAGGATGTGAAAACAAGATGCGGAGCTGACATATGGTAGCACTTGGGCCAAATGTAAGTTAAAGCTGTGCTTTGTAAGGGGTGCCTAGGTGACTGAGACAGTTAAGCTGTGCTTTGTTTGTCTAGCAAGTCAAATAAGTGATTCTGATTTTGAGTGCTCTTCTAGTGTATGTGTCCTTTTCAACTCACTACAGTACCTATCACTCCCTACTATTTCATTACATACTATTGCTGTACTCGGTAGAATATACATTATTTGCCTGACCCCTTAAAGCAGTTGAGTTTTTTAGATGATCTCTAAAATCTCCTTCTCCACTTAGCCTTAGAGAAATAGAAACCTATCAATCAACAGCCATCCATCCCCTGCTCCCCTTCTAAAGCAAAAAGATAGCAGTGGGAGAAGAGGGAGAAGTGAGTAAGGACAAAGCAATTTTCAGTGTTTTCTCTCAAAAATATACATGGAAAATAAACAAATTTAAAAAAATTGATAAGTATTAAAAATATACAGTCTATAATATAGGAAGAAAGACTCACTGAATACTTATATTAAAGTGACAACCAAATTGTTGTTTATATGTTTCAGGCACATAGTTTAATGTCTTATTGATCTAATTTTAACCTAGAATGATTGTACTGATAAATTGTGATTTTGGAATTATAGAATTATATGAATATGAAATCATCTGCTTATAAACCACCTATGACACATGAAATCTTACAGAAGATCACACACGGTAATTAACTGAATCCTTGCTTATAAATAGTAAAACAATTCTTTAATGTTTATTTTTGAGAGAGAGAGAGGGAGAGAGAAACAGAGCATGAGTTGGGGAGAGGCAGAGACAGAGATGGAGACACAGAATCTGAAGCAGGTTCTAAGCTCTGAGCTGTCAAACTTGTGAACCCCCAAATTGTGACCTAAGCCAAAGTTGGATGTGTAACCAAGTGAGCCACCAGAAGCACCAACTTATAAATACTTTTAAGCCTATAAGACCAGTTATTTAGGCAGAGCTTAAAATAAAGTATTTCTATACATTTTGTTATATTTCCATGTAACTTCTCAAGTGGGAAACAAACAAACTAAAACTCCTTTCCCATTTACCCTTGCCTTTATTCTAGTATGAATTTAGTGTCTAACATTGATTGATTTCACTTATTTGAAGCAGTGCACATTTAGTTTCTAAACTTAAATTTTTCAATAAGTGCTGAATTTTAGACTGGGAACATTTTAAAAGTAATACTTGCATCTGTGAAAAACAAAACAAAACAGAACAGGCTTTCTGATCATAGAATGGCAGTTTTTGTTATCATCTGGGAAATCCTCATTAAAACTGTTACATGAAATGTCCTGCAGAAGTGTGTTTTGTCAGCCTTTTGTTTCTCTGCCTTCTTCTACCCCATAGCCCCAAAAAAACAACAAAAAACTCCTTATTGAACCTGGTCCTGAAAGGGTACATTCAAGCAATTAAATTGACTGGGGCTTAAGCTCTAACAACCTTCAGGGTTGTTATTTTAAGGAATATGTTATAAGTCTGCAGATTTATATTCATTAGTGGTCACCATGCTGTGGCCATCAATTTCTTCTTTCATACTCTATTACGCTTCTATCTTTGCTGAGAATCATACAGTTTTTGTGGCTAGAAGTAGCATCTTCTCCTTTAATGGAAGTTTTGTTTGATAGACCTTTTTTGTTTTGTGATTTCATAAGAAACATTTAGCAAAACTTTAGTTTCATGATATTACATGCAAGTTTATGAATATTTTGCTATAGAAGTATACACAAATCAAATGTAGAGTAAGCTAGTAACAGAATAAATTAAAAGTTATATTCTAATCCATGAAGACAAATTATAGGAGGTTTTTGTTCACAGATAAAGCACAATGTCTGAAATCATTTGTAATTAAAATTAAAAATTATAAAATAAAGTTTATATCCTTACATATTTTTCTTCTAAAGGTTGAGACATATTATAGGGTTATACTATGCCAGGATTATAAGGCAAACTCAATACTAGGTAGTTGGGAATTAAAGCCTGTTGTTCAAATGTGTGTTTATGTGTATGTGTATGTATTTTTTTTTAAGTTTATATACAGGGGAGGGACAGAAAGAGAGGGAGTGACTGAATCCCAAGCAGGTTCCAGGCTGTCAGCACAGGGCCCAACTTGGGACTCAATGTCATGAACCATGAGATTTTGACCTGAGCCAAAATCAAAGTCAGACGCTAAACTGACTGAGCTACCCATGTGCCCCTGTTTAGGTATTTTTAAAAAATTTACTTTAAAATGAATACTTAAGTTCTTCTATATACAAAAATATTATATTGAGTGTCACATTTGACCCAGCTAGTAGTAGTGTAATTAAAAATTTATTTTTCATCTCTATTACTTCTTCTACTTAATACTAACTTAAATCAATAAAAAGCATAGCCTTCCAGTTACATTTTATGTGTAATTCATATCAAAGTGTACAGGAGTAGAACTATGTATGCCTAGTAGATGCTACAAGTCATAAGACTAGTATAGTTCACTCAGTTTTTACTAATGTCATATAAGAAAATGAAAAGAAAGGAAAGGAAGAGACATGAAAGAAATTTATAGGGAAGAGATATCAATTCACTTTAAACTAAGTGATAGTTCACAACACCTGTTTGTTGCTTTCTAAACAATTAGCTTCTTAAGAACTAGAACTCATGACTAAACTTGAATTATTTGAAAATGTTCACAGTTAATTGCATGTAAAGTATAAAACTTTAATTTTTAGTCAAATGCTTTACTCCTGAGCTATACCTCCGAAACATTAATTTGAATATGAAAACAAACAAAAAAGCCTATGTGATAAAGTGCTTTTTAAATAAAGTAAAATGACAAGAAAATGGATTGCAAAATTATAGGTACACTGCCTATACAGATTTATAGGCATGATGAGTTGATGGAGAAGAGGAAGAACACATGCATTCCTAAGAAGGCCATATTATGTGGGTATAATACAGGAATATTACCTTGAATGCTTAAAAATATTTTTCCTTTCATTAATTCTTGCCTTTATATCACACAGATTCCTAATCAACGATACATGTCCATTTTAAAGGAGAAATATTAACTTCTTTAAACATTAGTTAATTGTCTTCCTCATGTGAAATGTGTACTGACCTGTCCCCCTTGAAGAAATAAGTTTTCCCAACGTCTTCCCACCAAATGGCTGAATCAATACCATGGGGAGGAATTCCACTTCCAAGAGTAATCAAGTCATGAGGATAACCGGGTTGCAGAGTTGTATCCTTAAACACCCAATATTTGTTACCTGTATGAAATAAGTGCAAATGCAGAATACAATAATTTAATGTCAGAAAGTGGACTATATCTATTGACACAATGCATTTAAAACTATTTTACATAAAATCCATAAAATAACTAAGTAGTAGTCACATTTGGAACATCAATGTTATTGTTGAAAGATCATCTTCAAAAGTGTGATAAAATGAGTAACTATGTAAAAATATAGTCAGAATTTGTGACTTAATTTAAGAAATACAAAAGATCTACAACTTGCCATATTACAACAATTCTGAATCAAGGATCAGGGTTTTTCCTCTAGGAACTGGGGGCTCTATTTTTATTTAAGGCTAAATCATTCCTGTGTTTTGTGCATTCTGTATATCCTCAGATTGCTTTACTGATTATAACCTCTACTCCACTGAAAATCCTCTAGGCTGCTCTTTTCCGATTATTATAAATATTCACCAGGTCCTTTGGTCTTATAAAGTCATTTTCCTTTCACCCCATGTGCTCTACCCCTCTATTTGGGTGTTAACCTAAGGAAAGAGAATTTTAACCTTAACCTGTTTGAAATTGCCAGAGCATGGAGACATTAATAAGAAGACAAACTTTTATTGGTGTTTTGAAATGACCTATAGGCAACACCCTTCCTCACATACTGTACCACCCTATACTGCTGGCCAACTGTGCTTGCCACTCCCCTCTTTGGTACTGCCTCCCAAGAAGTCTACAGCCATTCCTCATTCCACTGAAAGTTGATTTAATACCTACTTTCCCCTGAAAACTTCAGTTCTGGAGTCACCAATGCCTTCCAAGAAAATCATTCTCCACCCCTATATATTGACACAGTTGCCCACTTAAAGTACTTTCTCTCTAAACTGTAAGAATTTTTTTTTTTTTTTTTTTTTTGGTGGTGGTGTAGACTTTTTTCTTTAGCTGCTCCTTTCTTTTTCTTTTTCTTTTTTTTTTAATACTTATTTTTGAGAGAGAGAGAGAATGGGTTGGGGAGGGGCAGTGAGAGGGAGGAAGACAGAATTCCAAGTGGGCTCTATGTTATCAGCACAGAGCCCAATGAGGGGCTCCAACTCTTGAATTGTGAGATCATGAAATGAGCCAAAATCAAGAGTTAGAGGCTTGGGGTGCCTGGGTGGTTCAGATGGGTGAGTGTTCGACTTCGGCTCAGGTCATGATCTCAAGGTTCGTGAGTTCAAGCCCCACTTCGGGCTCTGTGCTGACAACTCAGAGCCTGGAGCCTGCTCCGGATTCTGTGTCTCCCTCTCTCTGCCTCTCCCCTGCTCAAGCTCTGTCTCTGTCTCTCAAAAATAAATAAACATAAATAAATTAAAAGAAAGATTTAGAGGCTTAGCTGACTGAACCCAGACACTCCTCCTTTCTGTTTTATTTTTCCTCTCAGTTCTTCTTCCTTTTTTTTTTTTTTAATTTTGAGAGAGAGAGAAGGTGCACAAGTTGCATAAGAACATAGAGAGAGGGAGAAAGAGAATTCCCAGCAGGCTCTGCATTGATAACGCAGAGCCCAACTTGGGGGCTCAAACCCATGAACCATGAGATCATGACCTGAGCTGAAACAAAGAGTTGAATGCTTAAGTGGCTGAGGCACTCAGGCACCCCTTCCTCTCAGTTCTTAAGACCTGCCAATGGTCTTTTGCAAGAATTAATTAATTGAATCATTCATCAACAACTTAGTGTACTTACTAGGCACTATTTTAGGCACTGAATAACAAGGATACCATCTCTGCCTCATGGAGCTTAGATTCTACCCAATGGATATGGGAAAACTGAACTTAGACACGCAAACAAATATAACTTCAGACAGAAAAGTACTATATAAATACCAAAAAAAAATACATTAATGTAAAAGTGATGGAATGGCAGGCGGGGGGGGATTGCTTATATCGAACACAGTAAAGATCCTTTTATTCAAATGACATGTGACTTGTAACTTACATAATTCAAAAAGGTTGGCTCAATGAAGATTTTTTTGATGGGGTGGAAACATCCAAGGACAAATGCCTTAATGGGAAGAATCTTGTTAGAGAGCTAGGATACAATGTTGTTGGAATGTATAGTAAGGATAGAGGTAAGGATCATGTGGCCTTTATCAAAATTTGAACTTCATTCTAAAGTGAAATAGGAAGCCACTAAATAGTTAAATTAAAAAGTTCTTTGCTAAAGATGACAGCAATATTGATGGAAAGAGAAAATGGACTCATGAAACATTTTGGAGATGGAACTGATAGGCATTGCTGTTGGGTTGGCTGTGGGGAATTAAAAAACAGATAGTATCAAGGATAATCCTCAAGTTCTGACTTTTGTAAGCAAGAGAAGAATCATGATATAAAATAAGCCAAAGAAAACTGGGGTGGATGGGCTATAGGGGGCTCAAATCAAGAATTTGAGATGTCAGTGAGATACTTAAGTGAAGTCAAGTAAGCAACTGGATATGTGAGTTAGAAGATAACAATTTGTAAAGTCACAAGCATAAATATGGGGTTTACTAATCTAGGATTATATATATATATATATGAATATATAGAAAATAATATGTAGAGAATATATAGAAGGAAGAATATATAGGGAAGATGAAGAGGAACCAGAGAACCAGAACTGGGCTTCTAGAAATCTATGTTCTCAAAGTGATCACATAAGGGAAGAGGGAAGAGTAGGCAAATGCAAAGGAGGTAAAAGAGACAGGGAGGAAGACTAAAGTAAAAGAAAGCCTTAGAAGCCAAAAAAGAGAGTGGCCAAAAATGGCTATTTGTAATCCAAACAGCTCTTGAAAGCCAAATAGTATATATAGCTACCCACTGAGATTTTCTACAAAGTTGACCCACAAGTTCAAATTTGAACTCATCAAAGGACCTTTCTTCCTGTTTCCCTTATTTGGGTAGATGACATGCTAATTACTCTATATGTCACATATGCAGCCTTCCTGTTTATTATTTTTCATATCTGATGGATCATTACCTTTAGCTAATTTGATTTCTAAACATTTCCTTGAACCTGTCCCCTGCAGTCCACTCATATTGCCACTGGTACTAGGAAAGCTTTTCAATTATCCCTTCTAAAGGTGATTGTCTTGTCCACAAGCTGTGAAGTAGGTCCCACTATTCTCCATATCGTCCCTATACATTACCATCCAAACCTAGAGCCAGTCAAAATTCTGCAGAGTTATGGATTGCAGGTTAGGCAGACGAGAAGACCCATCTGTTCTTTCTTGGGAACATGACCCAGGGAATATTGAGAGACATTTCCATTCAGCAGAGGGAATTGACTATTTATTATATGGTATGAGGCTTGAGAAGCCATAATGGCCATAGGCAAGCAGACATTATGATGATGCATAAATTGAGCAACCAAAGAGATGAACCAAAAGAGAAAAGAGAATGGAATAGATGCAAAGAGCAAAGCTACAAAGAGGAGAGAGACCAGTAGGCCTATTAGAGGGATGGCAAGTGTAACAGTTCTTTGGTGAATTACTGTCACAAATCCAACCCTAAACTCAATTAATCTCATCGGTTTAATTTTTCTTTTAACTGAGTAAGATTATTCAGTATAAATTTTCGGCCATCCAAACATGACACAAGGTATTAGATATGTTGACCTCAAGTCTGTTAGCCAAAGTCCTGGGTTTTAGCCAGTGCACCATGCTGTCTTCCATCCATGTGCCTTAAGAGCAACACTTTAATGTTCTAACTTGTATCATTTCAATAACTTCCTTTTTTAAAAATAAGTGTTTATTTTTATTTTTGAGAGTGAAAGCATGAGCAGGGAAGTGGCAGAGAGAAAAGGGGACAGAGTATTTGAAGCAGGCTTCATGCTGACACAGTGAGCTTGATGCGAGACTCAAACCCACAAACTGTGAGATTATGACCTGAGCAGAAGTCAGACGCTCAACAGATAAGCCACCCAGGTGCCCCAAAAACTTCCTATCTTGTCTCCCTGACTCCAGTCTCACTTTATCTCTCTTCCATAAAGTCATTAAAGGAATCTTTCTAAAATCCATACCTGATTTTATCTCTCTCTTGTTTAAACTGTTCAGTGGTTTACCATTGTATTCAGCATAAACTCATCTATATATCATTTCAAAGTTCTTCTCAATATGAATCTCTTATTTCATCTATATTCGATGTACTTCCATTTCTGGAAAATGGGTATGACTCTTTCAAAGCTTAGCTGAACATCATTTCTCTGGAAAGCAGTTCCTATCTGAGTAAGGTGGGCCTCTTACATGTCCAGAGTACCCAGTCTTCTCCTTATCATATTACTTAGTGCACTTTTAGTACATATAATTTAGTACTTTAATGGATCACAAGCCTGCAACCTGCTCTAGGCTGTGAGCAACTTGGTTTGGACAAACACTGTAGCCAACACGTCCTGCAGTACCTTATACATAATGACTGGAAATTAGTAGGTGTTTAATAAATGGTTATTAATTCAAAGACCCATGTTTAATATACACAAATAACCAAGTTTGAGGTCAAAACAAAAACAAAAAGTGCACATAAATAACATTGTGGACCTTAGTCTTGAATCTTGTTAGTAGAGCAGATTAAAAATGAGTTTTATAATCACTAACAAGTCTGAGAAAATAAAAAGTCATGTCCCAGTATTATGCTGAAGGGTCAATTACGTAATTATATTTAACTCTGTGTTGGAAAATACTATCATAAAAATATACCCCTATCCTGAGCCATTATGTAATTTGAATTTTTTATATAGAAAAAAAACACATCCCAAGGGCCCAGATCACTTCCTTGTCAGAATCATTGAGATGGAAAATCCAGACAGCTGTTTCCAAGCTTGCTATAGGTTTTTGTCATAGCTATGTGACATTTAAAATTGAAAGTCTTAAAACAATACAACGAAAAGAAAGTCCTGCTCTATGTTAGCCTATACCTGGGCGACTACTGCATCTCAGTGACTACTTTCATCTCAGTTTTAATTAGGAAAGGGTAATACAGTTCCAATGCCTTCCTTGCTAGCTATTTGGGGTAAACCTGTTAT